AATCTCCCGCTACATTAGATCCACAAAGTAAACAGCTCCTCATGTTCACTCGAGTTAATTGTCATCATTCTAAACTCTTCCTTTTCCAGTTGGCATGGCCATTAAAAAAATTATTGAGTCTAGGCAGTTCTAAATGAGTGTGCTTGACAGTGAATATGATTAAGTCTATGAAGTTTAACATCCTTAGAGCTTGAATGTGCTCGACAGTGATAGCAATCTTTCCATTTACATATTTCTTGAATTTCTCCAATAATATTTTTGGATGAAATTTCTACAGTCCTCTTTACTCAAACTTGATACCTAACAGTGATCACCATCAAAAATAATTTTCGAATAAGAATTTGTGCAGTCACCTCTAACAATACTTTTCAATTCCACTCTCTAGATAACATTTATCTCCTTTCCTTCTTAATAGGTGATTTGACAAAGTTTGTCTTATTCATTTTTTTCAATCATCAAAGCAAGCACAATAGATTAACCAAAATCTTTAATAGAGATGAGGATCCCAGTAGATATATTGAGATGCAGCCTTGTCGTATACTTCGCCAACAAGGACGCATCTTCTGGAGATAGTCTAATCAATAAGACTAGTATCATAAACGTTGTGATGTAGTTTTACACGTTATGAACTTGGCATTGGCTCAACTTATGCCACATTATATTTTATCTTCATGACTCATGGGGCAAAACAAATAGAGTGGTTGCTTGAACTTGCTTTAAGAGAAATCTCAACTTCCATAACAGATCAAAGGATTCAATCAAGTCAAAACATGCTTGACAGAGCAATTTCTTTATGATAATGTTAAGGTGCACTATTAATTGTTGCAAACTAGTGAAACTGACACTTATTTTAGAATCAACTAAGATAATTCCTCAAATATTCAAGTACCAAGAGATATCACATATAATATATCTCATCAACTCCCTTGAGCAAGAGATTGGTCATAGTAAGGAAACAAAAAACTACAAAATCATTTTATGATGATATAGCAAAGATTCCTCCTCACAAGATGATTTTATTTTTATAAGTACATATGAATAAGAACATCAATGATATCGTTCTATGGTTCTGAGAAGGTGTCTAAAAAGTGCATTGGTTGGAAAATAACAAAGAAAAGAAATATATGGGGTCGACGACATTTGGAGGGGGCTAAAAGACGAAATATGTTGTTGGAGAACATATTTGAGCTATTTGAGCTCTGTCACTACTTAAAACTGTGAGGGAGACGACAAAGAGGCGAGGTACGAGCAACGAGGAAGTTCACCATCTATTCTTGAACAAAATACATACACACCACTTACAATGGGAAAAAGATACAAAACTCATTACTCATTAAAGTATAAACCAGATATTTCAATCTCCTAAAACTCAGAGGCACATAAAAGTCCCCAAAACATCAAAATATAATACATAAATAGACTCCTAATAGAAAATAACCTAGTTATAAATAAATAAAAAGAAAATAGGGGTCCACAGAAACTGTGAAAAAAAAAAGAGCAAGAAATCCCGCTAAAATTGCTCCCAAATTTGAAGATTACTCAAGCCGATTCCCGCGATCACGAAATCCCTGTAATCACGACATCCCAAAATCGCGCTATTCATATCTTACTCCCGCTTCGCTTCATGCACGGCTTCGCTCCATGCACGATCTGAAACCTCCTGCATCCCCTTCCCTCGCTCGAGTTCACATATTGGGCTAGTATCAATATCTCGCGTCATTTTCTCCAGGTATGAAAGGCTTTGTCTTCTTCAGTGGAAGCTTCAAAATTTGATATATCATCATCATAACAAATTCGTTGTCTTTTATACTCGAGGGATCCCCACTACAAAAACTATGATCATATCTACCCAAGAAAATTCTGAAACGCTTGTGTCCTGATAGAATAAATAACTATTCTTTTTTGGCTGCACATCGACGAGTAATATCCTGAACCGATTTTGAAGTCCTTTCACTCATACTCCACTGAGCGCATTTGATAGGCTTATCTTGCAAAACTGACTATAGAATGAAATCTATGACATGTTGGACCACTTTTAATGGAGGTAAACTATCAATTAGAACGCCTAATAACTCCTTCAACAATTATTCCCCAAAGGACGTTATTGTCCACTCATACAATACATATCACATATTTTGAAAGTTGTCTTCTATTCATCTCTTAGTCTCGTCCTAATATGATGAAAACTACTGCACGAATCAATCTTGGAGAAGACAACGGGGTTGTTTAATTGATGAAATAAATCATTCAATCTCAAAATGGGAAACCAATACTTGATAGTGAGATTGATCACGGTCCTACTATCAATGCACATGCACCACGACTCATCCTTTTGGGATAGAATCAAGTCTTGTACAACATATGGAATGGTGCTCTCACGAACTAGTCATCAAGCCATCGGATCCTCAGCCTACTTCTACAGCTCCTCATATTCTATTGTTCACGTCTGGTAGGTTGGTCGATTAAGAAATATTGAGCCTGGGATTAGGTCTATAGCTTGTTGAATCTCTGATAGAGGTGGCAATTCAAGTGGTTGACTATCAATCAAAATATCCTAGAACTCCTCTAATGGAGGTCGCACTGTCTAAGGTATTGACTCATCTATCTCATTGTCTTCTAATATCACCAAGGCTGTTCTCATTAACGCCTCTCTCATGGCCTGTAGCAATGTAAAATGATGCATTATAGTGCATATATCTAAGTACTCATCAATACTGACTCGTTGAAAATCAGTAGTGCAAAACACTTCCCATACTTAATAAACTAGGTGATTTTAGTTCATCAAGAAATGCATTCCTATCATATTAAAATGGCATCCAAAAAAAAAAGTGACCGACAACCATAGCACAACATATCACCGATCATGCGGCTTATCTCCAATTGAAAATACTACCATACACATCTTGTTGACATTGATTTCATTCCCCTTCTTCAACTAAATCAAAAAATATGATTGAGAGTGCTTTTAGGTAGTGCAACTCAATTTGTCCATCATCCATACAGAAACCACATTCTCACAATTATTTTCTTCTATAATGAGACTACATGCATTCCCTTTCATAGTACAATGGGTATGAAAGATATTATGTTTAAGCCAATATCAATCTCTCTAGGGCTTATTCTGAAGAGCTTAGCATCTCACCAAATCATCTGCGGGTAACTAATTGGTACCCCTTTAAAGTTTCCTCCCCTATGTTTCTCTATATGTTTCTTCCAACGCACCCTATTCAGTAAAAGAAATCACTTATGTTTGAACAGTTGAACGTATCGTGTTTATATTCATGACACTTAAAGCACTTCTTGGCTGGAAATGTCTTGAGAATGTTGACTCGATCAATCCTCATTTTCTCATCTGTTATCTTCTCTTCAAGGGGGATAGTTCTTGGCATTCTAGTCGGTGTGCTCTCATTGCTAATCCGATGGTCGAACTCTATTTGAAGCATGGTAGAAAGCTAATATTACCGTGTTGTCTCTCCAACTTCAAGGCTAAGTTTTGGATATCATATATCATGCAATAGAGATTCCAGCTTGTCTGTGATCTTGGAATACTCCCGCATCAATCTGCAAAAGTCTTATTCATCTATTCCGTAATTTTGATTCTTGACCAAATGTGAGACTTAAATTCCAAGAAGTTGTCTTCTTATACAAGCATGATGCTTACTTTTTCTAGAACTTATTTGTCATTGTCTTTCCTTTCTTCTACCCTTTGTTCTCCATAGTTTTTATTATTGAGTGAAAGTGAGATTATATTTGGCCAATGTTATGAAATTTCAATCATGTGTAACTTCTATAATCATTATTTATATTCAATACTTCATAATACAAGTCCTTGATTTTCATAACTATGTTTCAACATTCTTCACCATTCATCCAAAATCGAATAATTTTTAAGATTAATAACTTCTAGCTTATGCATATTTTAAGTGTTTGATGCATGATTATCCGGAATGCATGTTAGACTAAGGTTAAAGTTCCAAGACAGTGAGGAATCCTATATCAAGGCTACGTCATATGATGATTACAAGCAGATAAAACAGGCTTGTAAGAAAGAAAAGATTTAGCTTACATAGACAGCATGGAACAAACAAACCACATTTTCTCGCTTTATCCATATATGGACTGCCACCCTCCAGAATATATTATTATTTTTTAAAAACTGAATAATGGAGCAAGGCCGACCACCCCTAAAATATTTTCTTATTATTTTATTAAAATGTAAGATGGGCGACAAATTGAGAAGAGGAAGAATTGGAAGGAGATAAGGATAAGATTAAATTATTTAAAAAATATATAGTATTATGCTTCTAATTACAAAATAAGTTGAATGACTGAAAATTATAAATAGATCCCTTAATATAGTTAGTTTTCATTCAGTTCTAAGGCAAGAAACTCCTCTAGAAATCCTCAGTTTCCTTTTCGCCAACAATTCCTCTCTCTCTCCCTTCACTTTGTAATCTCTCTCCTCTTTCTCTGTATACCAAGAGAGACCGAAAAACAAATATCATGATGAGGAGGAAGTAGAAGCAAACATCACACTTAACATTTGGAAAATCAAGAAAACCATCTCCATTAAAATGTAACATCTAACCAAAACAAATTACTTCCAGCCATCTCCTAAATCCTTCCCTATTCACCAAAAGTAAATACTCCCTCTCCTAATTCCTACCTTGTTTATGCCCTTCAAGGTTAAACTAGCTTTTTTATTGGAGATATAGATGACTCCCATGTACATCTTTTAAGAAATTTGAGAGATCTCCTGAAAAATGCCCAAGCAGGATCCTTTTTTATCTCTTGCTATTAATAAAATGCTTCATGCACTCTTTCGGGAAAAAAAATCCACAACATTAATGATCCTACCTACCATCGAATTTTACCAAGAAATAAATGAAGGAATTTCAATATACCATACTGTTGTATTCTATGGTTACCGGTGGAACTGCGGAAAATACGTTCAAAGAAACCAGAAGGAAAAAAAAATAATCAAGAAATTTCATAAAGACCTGAGATATTGAGCAATCTTTGAGGGCTTCCAATTTATGAGGAATGAGATGATCTTCGAAGTCCCCATGCCCCAGTTGACCATACTTGCTCCATCCATAAGTGTAGAGAGCACCAGAGAAGGAAACTGTTATTGTGTGACGCCAGCCACATGCAACAAGTACCATCCGCTGTCCAAATAATAATTGAATATACAACAGTGCCATGAAAAAATACCAATTCGAGAATGTATTTTGCAAATGAAAAAATAGTAAATAACATTTGGCTGAGAGAAACTACATAACAAAGCCAGGTAGAAGTAAAGATGCACTCCAGAAAGGCTGTTACTCATTTTTGCATAATAATAATAATATAAAAAATACCTAAACACAAACAAAGTAGCCAAATTCTCATGCAACTTACCGTTTTCTTTCTTTGAGAAGAGATTCTTAAAATAAGAGATAAATTCATAAATAATAAGCATCATTTGTTGTGGGTACGACTAATCTAGTTGGTAAAAGCCTTGATAGTTGTGCAAATATTGGGTTTGATTCTCACATATATTATAATAAAACTCCCATCATATGGACTTCTAGATGGGCTAAAATAAAAATTAAAAAATAAGTATCAATTGTTGATAAATCAGACATTAAACATTTGTTCGATTATAAAGATGAATAATTATTAGTGATATTCATACATTTGTTCCTACTATTATCATTGTTTCATAATTGCAATTTGCGATACTCTAAAAAATAATACTACTACTACCACTCATGATGTTTCACAATTACTGAAAAAGATCCCAAAAATAGCCCAATTGGTTCTAATCTTTTGCAGCTTTTTGATTATGAAGGGCCCAACAAAGCCCATTTCCATCCATAAAGTAAAGGCGAGATGTGCAGAATGAAGGGGGAAGAAGAGTTGTCACTATAGAAAAGATAAATGACTATAAGGAACCAACGATTCTCTCTTCTTAAACAATCAAAATCCTTTACACTTTACCAGCAAATGATAGATCATCCAACCCCGAGCAATCTGTTATTCGTGGGTTCCGGTCTGTTAGCTGGTCTTTAAAGCTTTAACCATTATTGCCTTCTCACGATTGAATGTTTTCAACAAAAAGATACACAAAAACAAACAAACAAAGTCAGCAAAATAACCATTCATCCCCCTAAAAAATAAGTTCTTAAACACATAACATCATACTCAAAATTAGATCTTAAATATGTAACATCATACTCAAAATTTGCAGCTGCTAATAATAAAACATAACTAAATCTTTCAGCAGATTCCAAAAGGGTAGTCCTTAATGAATTTTAAAGCTAACGTTAAAGATTCTTTGACCGATTAAGTGCTCTAATTTCAATGTTCCTAAGAAAGCCCATAAGCAAGCTCTTACTTAATTGAACATCATTGAAGATTAAAAGTTACAGGTCTAGAGTGAATTGTAATAGCTCGAACTCTCGCCCATCGAGATATTGTCCGCTTTGGCCTAATGACCTCATTTTACTAAAGAGGTCTCGTAATCTCTTCAACTTACGAAACTGACATTTTCATCAATGCTCTTAACCAAGAATCATCCACCATGCAGATAAAATTCTAAAGGTGGCCCCCCATAGATTCAAGATGTGGCTCCCATCATGTAGCATTTCATCCCATCTAAAGTTAAAGAGATGGCTCCCATAACGTAACATTTTGTCCTATATAGCACTTAGTTCCCATCTTCAGGCTAGTGTAATGGTCTAATATCATTTGTAACAAGTCGAACTCTTAACTATCGAGATATTGCCTGTTTTGGCTTAATTGTCTCACGATTTTGCCCCATTCATGAATTAGCATAAGGATTCGTCACAAGAATCTCATAATGATGTATTTGGAAACCCGCCCCGCCCCGCCCCCCGCGTCTCTTTTTCTCCTAATACTTTCAAAGATCTGCATTCCCTATCAATACTCTCTAACCCCAAGGATTCCTCTCTCCCCTACCATACAACATGATATTTGAGAATCCACTATCAATGTTTTCCATCCCAAACATAAATTACAAGATTGTCATACAAGCTCTTCTTAGCAATCCAAACAAAGTTTGGAAGAAAGAGGAAAGAGAATCAAACAAGATCATCAATAAGGGTATTTAGGTAAATTGGCATCAATAAGAACTTTTTTCATGAAAAAAATTCAATGAAGAGTCTAGCCACCACATCTTTCTCATCCCATAACCAATATAGAACCACCATTTTGTTAAGTCACAAGAAAGTATTGAATTTAGCATGAGAAAGTATTGGTTTTATACCTGCGTCAAAAGGATGATAAATTGGTGTAAAAGTGCTAAGGGTATGGTCCTCATAAAAAAGCTCAAGTCTGTTGATTAATAATATTTTTTACCACTGGCATAACAAGCCAACGTTGACCCTCCCTTTGGTACTCTTCCAATAATATTAAAACAAATAAGAATTAAAAACTAATTATAGACTTAGATCATATGAATTTCATGTAATACCATAAAAACATCAAAACAATGACACTTGACCTGTGAAGGTTGCATGGATTATTGCAAGGAGATAGACAAGGAACATTCAAACTCACCTATTAAATATACCACATTTTAAAATTAGCATTGTTACCAACATCAAGTTCAGTTCTAGAATACAACATTGAAATGTGCTTATTTTAAGATTGTTTGGAATCACTTTTTTCAAAAAAAAAAAACATCTAAAAAACACACCAAACAAACATTATTTTCAAAACAGAACAAAAAACAAAAACGAAAAACAAAATTGATCTCATGCAAGCCTTAATTGACTTGATTTGCAGTCCCAAAAAATGTGCCCCTTTAAGTGGTTGAGGATATAAACATCATTGGATGTACAAATGACTACTTCATGCCCTTTGATAAATAATGTTTGGGATAAAATCCTAGGCTCTTTTTGAATCGCAGAGTTCAAACCACACATCATGACATATGGATAGAATTTACATAATGTTTTAATAGCTACTGTTAAAGTGTACGGTAGTGGAGACAAAAGAAAACACCATAACCCAGTATCTTAAAGGAAACACCATAACCTAGTATCTTAAAGGATTGAGACAATTTATTGGCAATAACCTATTATACTTTGCAAGTAGAGTTGTAAATGAAACAATGCACTAAATGGACAGCTTGAACTCGGCTCGATTAATACTCAATCATGTTTGCTCAAATTAGTAAATAAATTTGAAATTTTTTTAAAACTTGAAGGTCAAATAAATTAAATTTGACCTTAGTGAAACTTGCTTATTAATGTTCACGAACAAACTTATTTATTATTCAACAAGCAATATGCTTAATATTCTATACTTGAATGATATATTAATTAAATAAAAATTAATGAACTAAAACTTAATTATATATTTAATAGTAAAATATTATTTTTTAAAAGCATTTAGATACATACCACCCCATTCTTATGTATTTATATATCTAACACCTAAGCTTTTTTTTTACAATAATACCAACCCAAATCTCAAAAATACCCCTTTCTCTTTTGCCCGGCTCACACAACGCCATCTTAGATCACACTCAGACTCGCATGAGGCCAACACGACCATGCCTCTTACGTCGCTCAGGTTCTACCCTAGTATGCGACGATCGTTAGCGTTACACATGGCTACGCACATATCGTTGACAGTGTCGTTACCTTCTCTCAATCACCTCTGTCTCCCTCTCCTTTACTCGATTCTTTGATTTCATACAGAAATTCATTCCTTTTTTTTCTCATACGCCTAATAAAGAGGAACAGCTAGCGTTGGTTCTCAAATTCCAACCTCTCTTCCTCTTCTTTTTTTTCCAGCCGTTACATCTATCAAAGCAAACTTTAGGATTTCAGTTTGGCCAGCCACATGTATAAATTGCACATTCAAGTGTCAAATGACCTAGGGATAACAAATAATGTTTAACAAAATTATGTGTCGACTAAGCCACCTCAGCAACAGTCGGCTTTTTCACTGAATAATTAATTAACCATAAACTATCGAACGAACAAAGACACAATTTATGAAGAATCTATATAAAGAAGTCCTAATTGACAGCCATTTAAGGATGTTGGTTTTTAAAACTTAGCAACCCGGATAAATGGTTTATTTTAAAAAGTAATTTTTTGGATCAACAAACAAAAAAAACAAAAAGGGAAGAATTACATACACACCACCCAATTCCCATGTATTAATATATCTAGCACTTAACCTTTATTTTTGACATATATGCCACCTTTCTTATGAATAAAGAGGTGTAATTCACTTTTTAAAGTTAAAGAAGTGGTAATTTTTATGTGAAATGAAAATTTTGGGCTGTATTAACGTAAAAAGTAAAGTTTAGGTGTTAGATATGTAAATACATAAGAATTGGGTGGAATGTATGTAAATGCCGCAAAAAAGAAAGACGTGGAATGCAAGAATTATTGACGGTCAAGACATGTAATTTATTTGAAAGGCTATGAAATGGAGCATGGCATGAAATTTGAATTTCACTGAAAGTAGAACCAGTTACATACATCATGAATGGAAACTTTTTCTGGTACAAGACGATCATTTCTGTCACCAAAGCCCAAATTTCCATACCGACCCCAACCCCATCCAAAAAGATCGCCATCTTCTGTAACGGCAGCAGAATGTTCAGCACCCGTAGCAACCATTTTAACAGGAATTCCCTGACAGAAAGCACATGGCAATTGATCGCTGAAGAGAAACATCTAAATTTATTAAAGAACAAATAAAAGGCATAAAACTAGAGATAAATTCTTTACTTTCCATGGTAATCATATTAGTCATTGCTACCATTACATGTTAAAAGAGACCTATATAGATGCTAATTTGACGAAATAATTACATACATGATAATCGAAAGTTCCAACCATAATGATAATCTCCTGCTTACCGTTTAACTCAATGTTTGTGAAGAAAAATAAATCAATTTAGGAAAAAGGAAGCTAACCTCCAATGTTTTATTGTGAATGCTTACACAGGTCACCATCGCCAAAGAAACAAAGGGTAATAGAAATGAGGTTTCTGAAAAAAGTTGTGGTGGGTAATTAAGTTGCAAAGTAAAAAATACAAATGGCTATTATTTAACGAAAACAAATGGATATCTGGATGACCCTGGTATTGGGCAAATAACTAAATAGTTTGGTTTCTAAGACGCAACAAAGAATAAAATGCAACTCTAACAGCAGTTGTCTTCATCAAGATATTCAGTAAAGACAATCCTTATAAAAAAAATGCTCACAAATATAACCTAATCATAGAGCCCCAAAAATAAAGAAGTAATTCATCCTTTTCTTCTATTCTAACATTCATTTTTTCCAAAAATTAAGTGATATTTAAGAATATGGGCTAAAGTTCCACATGAAAATCTACCGCCTATTACATCATAACCTGGTGCTTGGACTGCCAAAGGTAAATGTTTCAGCTGAACTTAAACTACGTGCAATCAGATCATATTAAATAATAAAATAATTGAAAAATCACACTGCAGCAAACAAACAAAATGCTATTAAGCATCTAGTCAAAATTCAAATAAAAAAACCAAATAGTTTGTTGTATAAATTGAGAATAAACAGGTAACTGAAAGTTTTATGCAAAAAGTTTCTATAAAAAAGTGTACTCAATGATAGAATGAAAAGTTCCATGCTAAAAAGATAAGAAATATTATTAGCATATCAACATCAGAGGGTTAAAATATTATTTAGGATATAATTGACCTCAACAGAAGATCAGTTTATCCGTCCTATAAGAAAATTAGCATAACAATAACTTTTCATGCCCAATGATTAAATACGAATTTGAAATATTTCAGGATATGAAAGTACTTCACGATACCTGAAAAGTTTGAACTTTTTGTGGTACAAGAGAGTCTTCATTAGAGCCAAGGCCAAGCTGCCCGTTTTGGTTCCTCCCCCAACTTTAAGGAAACAATATGAAGAAATTAAACCCAAAATTCAATAAAAGGGGGCAGTACATTACGAAGTTAACAACATTTAACTTCAAACACAAAGTGCAACCAACAGATAGTGACACTTTGGGCAACGTTCGTAAAATATTAATACACAATTTGAGATAAATTAAAAAGAAATTGAGAATGTAATAACAAGTTAAAATGGGAAATCTGACTTTCCAGGACTCGGAATGCATCTATTTGGACCAAAAAATGCCTCTGTTTTTATTTAAGTCAATATGCTCGAAACCGCTTGTTGGACCAAAATATTCCTAATGTGGGATAACCTCCATGTCATTCAAAAGTGATTTGAATTAGAACCAGTTCAAACTAACCCAGGTTCAAACCTGATTCAAGCCCTGTTTCAGACCTATGGTTCGAATCATGCTCGAACAAAGAAAACAAAAATTGTCCTTTACAAGAAGCTGCTATGTTATTACCTATCCCTCCATCACGAACTCCTCAACTCCTTCACATGTTGTCAGTCACATTGATCCCTGCTTCCAGCAAACTCCTATTTTCATTTATGTTGAGAAATTCAGGGCAAAGAAAATCAAGAATCGACACAAATCCAGAAGAAAATACAGAGACTTAACGAAGTTCGGCAATGAGCTTACGTCCTCGAGAGCAGAGCGGCGATTTAACTATTCCAAAAGTAAAGTTCGGAACATACCCAAAACCAACAGATAAAAATACTAAAACGCCCCCATTCTCCCAACCCACTTAACTCCAAGAGACACACCTCTTTACTCCAAGAGACGCACCTATTCATTCCAATAGACACATCTCCTCATTCCAAGAGACACATCTCTTCATTCCAAGACATATCTCATCACTTCAAGAGACACACATCTTCATTCCAAGAGACACACTTCTTCTATTCAAGAGACATACCTCTTCACTCCAAGAGACATCTCATCATTCCAAGAGACACATCTCTTCACTTCAAGAGACACACCTCTTCATTTAAAGAGACATCTCTTCACTTCAAGAGACACGCATCTTCATTCCAAGAGACACATCTCTTCTACCAATTTTTGATATATGAGTCATATCTAACCAAGTTCCACCTGGGCAAATATTCAGCCCTTTAGGAGAAAGATATCTTGGAGTTTCTCATAAACCAAAGTGGGTTGGGCTACCATGTCGTCTAGCAACTACAAACATTCAACAAGTTCAAACAATGTAAGAATTTGTTGATAGTAATTGACTTGATCAACATATCAACTGCATTTTCATCAGTAAGAACTTGATTTTTAGTCAGATAAATGACACTCTGACTGTCACAATACAACTAAAGTCCACCTTTCTCAACACTCAGTTCATTTACTAGCCCAGTAATTAATAATTTTGTATTATCATCATATGATTCAACAGAGTGAACTCCACCTACAACTGGCCACCTCAACATTTTATAGATATTACATGCAGTAATCTTTCCTTTCATCACAATCAATGCATCTTTAACAATTCTGATGGTTTCTTTATTCTTATATGCCTTAAGAATAAAATTATTTCTGTGTAAAATGTTCAAAGAAATTAATTCTTCTTCAAATCTAGAATGTCTTACATCGCATAATGTTCTGACAGAATCATACATCTTAATTCTGACTTCACCAATACCAGCAATATTACAACATCTATCATCACCCAAATAGACTGAACCAGAATCAGAAAACTTGTATGAAGTAAACTACTCTCTGTTAGGAATTACGTGATAAGAACATCCTGAATCAAGAATCTATGCATCATTCAACTGAGTTGTTGTAACTTAAAGCATATCACCATCACTGCAATCTGAACCGTCACTCTGCACCATATTCACAGACTTAGAAGATACATCACGTTTCTCATTAGTCTGCGTCTTGAGTTTTGGACAATCTCTCTTCATATGACCCGGCTCCTTGCACTTGTAGCAATGAATCGTCTTTTTACCTTTAGACTTCGACATAGGATTTTGCCTTCCATAACTCTCATTCTCCTCCTTCCTTCCACGATTCTGATTACCCTTAACATATAAATTATCACCATGAGAGTTTTCCCCTATTATCTACTCCCGCTGGTTGTGAGCTAATAATGTTGCAGTAATCTCATCAACTTTGATTGTTTCTTTCTCATATGTAAGAGTAGTCATCAGGTGTTCATAAAAGGAAGGCAATGAACACAATATAATCGTTGTCCGATCTTCATCATCAATACTCACATTAAGTGGTGATAAACATGTGATTATTTGATTGAAAACATTCACATGCTACGCCAAATCAGAGTTTGTTTGCATCTTCAGCCCATAAAACTTTTACTTCATATACAGTTTATTCGTCAGAGATTTGACATAAACAGTTTCAAATTTCTTCCATACATCTCCTGGAGATTTCAGATTCATAATATGAAACATAATCTTATCTGTCAAACATAAATGTATGGTACCTACCGCTCGTTATTGCAGTTCTTCTCAATTTTCATCTTCCATATTATCAAGCTTCGTTTTGCAAAACCTTCAAGATTTTCTGTTGTGTCAATAAATCTTTCAATGAATCATCTTCCATATTATTAAGCTTCGCCCATATTTGTCATAATCTGAATTTCCCGGTTTCATCATATTTCACTATTTTGAATTTTGTATCAGACAGTGTCATTTGAAATTACTCCTATCGTGATCTATCGCGATTCTCGATTCAGGGAAGACTGCTTTCTGAAATCGTGTTCCTTCTTATCGTCGAACCGCCCAAACTCCTTCACCAAACACCTCTGTGTCGGCGCCTAGTCCAAGCCATCTCAAGCCTTCTCGTCGAACTCTCTGAAGGCCGCTCGCCAACTCCTCTGCGAACTGCCTTGCTGAAACTGCTGCAAACCGCCGGTCTTCTTCCTCTTCGATCTCCTCTGCGAAACTGCCGCAAACAGCCTCCTTCTGCGATTCGCAAACTCCCTTGCAAAGCACCGAAGCCGCAAACTCCTAGTCCTTAAAGCCACCTGGTCGCGGGAACTTCGCCTGGTTGCTGACCTTCGTCTGGTCGCGATGCCGCGAATCCCTCTCGCCGAACCGCTCGCCTTCATCTGCCAACATCCGCAATCCTCGAACTCCCTAAGGCCCTAGCCAAACCTTTCTACCAAATCGTTGAATCCTTCTTCGTCCTTCCTGCGCCGAACTTTTCTGCCCTAGAACTTCACTTTGATATCACTTGTTGAGAAATTTAGGACAAAGAAAAATAAAAAATCGACACAAATTCAGAAGAAAACACAGAGATTTAACGAGGTTCGACAATGAGCCTACATTCTCGGGAGCAGAGAGGAAAGTTCGGTACATACTCCAAGATACACACCTCTCCCTCCAAGAGACACGCATCCTCCCTCCAAGAGACATCTCTTCACTTCAAGAGACACGCATCTTCACTCCAAGAGACACATCTCTTCACTTCAAGAGACACTTTTTCATTCTAATAGACACATCTCATCACTTCAAAAGACACATCTTCATTCCAAGAGAAACATCTCTTCTACCAATTTTTAGTATATGAGTCATATCTAACAGTTTACACGCCACCAATCTCATCAATGACTAACACATCGAGTGTCACTTTTTCTTCACACATTACTAGTCCCATCGATGTCGATTACCAAAGAGCTCCCATCGTGACTCTTCCAGGCATTATCGATCTTGTCGATACTTGCCCCCAATAAATTCCTCTTCACCATCACACTTCGTCAATTACATCAATGCCCAGGCCCATTAAGTTACTATCATAAATTGCTGCTTCTTCACAAACTATTGATCCCATCAATGCCAACCCCCAATGAACTCATCTCTTACTTTACAATGTTATTCCTTTCGATGTTTTTCCCTAGCAAGCTCCTCTTCTCATCCACATTGTGTCGATCCCATCAATGACTAGCCCAGTGATTCAAACAAGCTTCAAAAAAAGTTCGAATGAAGTTCAAATTAGGTTCATACAAAGGTTAAAACAAAATTTGAACCATATTCAAATAACTTAAAAATTCAATAAGCAGCTCACAAACATGAGAGATTATCCCTCATTTTGAATAATTTCATCTAAAATGAACTTTGGAAATTATTTCCCCAAAATAAAGACGAAGTGAGGATATTTGGCCAATCACTTGTATTTTGAGGCATATAAAGTCAATTTTCCCTTTACCAAATTTAAGGAGTTTTTGGGAACGTTCAACAGAAAAGTACGCAATGGCCCTAAAGTGGAAAAGCAATACTCAGTTTAGTAAGTGGCATATATCAACAAACAAGAGGGAAATGCATCACACGAGAAAAAAGAATGTTTCAACTAAAGGAATAAAGATAAAACACCTCAAATAATTCATACCAACAGAATTTATTAGAAAGCGTAAGGATGCCATCAAATTTATGCACAAAAAAAATAAATAAAATGCAGACCTTTGAACTATTCCCTCCATGGTTACAGCCAGGCAATGGCTATCACCACAAGCAATCTGTTTAATCCTTATGCCTTGTAGTGCCTTAATTGGCTGTGGAGTAAAAACATCACTGGAATTACCATGGCCCAGCCTCCCAAAGTCACCCCTACAGAATAGTAAAAAAAATCTGCAAGCTTCAGTGTCAAAAAGTAAAAAAAGCTCGGCTAGCTTTAGCATCCACCAGAAATCAAGTCATACCATGTCAAATCAAAAAAGCTGTTTCATATTTTGATCAATTTATTTCATATTAACTAAATCTTAACTTCTAAAATCGCATTCATCATCATGAATGGCCTTTATCTCTTTGATATGTTTTGCATGCATGGGAGTCATTAGCTCTAAATCCTTTCATTCTTGAAAGGAACATTAAAAAAAAGTAAAATTTTTTTAGTGCAAAGAAAGATATGCATGCAGGGTAGATAACCAGCAGTTAGAATCAATTGAATAATATTACAAGTAAAAAAACATGCAAATTTATTCAAATGTAACTTTTTCATATTTTTCCACCGGTCATCTTAACTGCATGCTGGTAGGAACTTTGAGATTTTCACAAAATTAGGGCAGTCAAATATTTTATTTCAATAATACCAAACAATACAACTCATATACATAAAGCTAAGCACATACAATTCGAGAGGTAAGAGATCTCTCTCTAACCCTAAACCTAGCCTACTATTCGAGAGGGAGACGATCTCTCTCAAACTCTAAACCTAAACCTAAGATTCAAGACATTCAAAACAACGATCACATGCATCCCCAACTCTTAGCATATTAGGCCCCCTATTTACACCAAACAATAATAATTACCAAAAGACTAAATCGCCCTTAGGCGTAAACCTAACATTAAACCCTCCCAAAAAGACGCATTGTCCTAAAGACGGAAAAATGAATATGGTTGATAGATCAAATCGTGTGGCTAAGACAACAATCACATGTATCCCCAACCCTAAGCATAATAAGTCATATTTGCACCAAACAATAAATTGCCCTTAGGTGTCAATCTAACATCACAAACCTCCCAAAAAGGCACATTGTCCTCTAGACGAAAAAATGAAAATTGTTGATGGATCAAGTCGGGTGGCTCCCACTTATTAACTGACTTGATTTTGGTTCTCATTGTCAGTACTTGATTGAAATAAGTGATGAGTTGTGGACACTTCATAAGGTTTGCGCCTAATCCATAGCCAAAAGCATCTGTCTCTACAACAAAAAGTTGGCTTAAACATGTTTACACCAATACCGGTACGCACTCATCATAGCCTTCTTTAAATTCTAAAAAGATTGGGTCACCGTTTTCTCCCACTAAAAATTATTCTTTTTCATTTTCCCTATTAAAGGCCAACACAATAGAATTACAACCCTTCACAAACTTACAGTAGTAACCTAAAATCCTATAAAATATTCTCAACCTATTCCAGATCTTAAGTAGTGGCCACTCCAGCATAGCCGCCGCCTTCGATGGATTCGTTGATAATAAGGTCTTGTGCAAATTAGGGCCACCGCAAAACACCATTGTCTTAGCTCCCTCCTGAAACTCCATGGTCAAAAGTTTCCAATTCATCTTAGTCTCCCCTAAAGATTGTAATAATAAAAAATTAAAAAAAAAAATTAATTAATTAACAGAGACAAAAAAAACTTCGTTGGTAACGACAAGCGAGACCGCCACAGCTCACGGGAGCATTAAAACGAGGATTTTTCCTTGTCTTGTCTCATTCGAACCCAACAAGAAAAATAGAGGATGTGAGAGCGAGAGTCGTTAGAGAATGAGGGAGTCGTGAGAAACAGAAGTAGAAAAAAGAAAAAATCGAGGAAGAATAAGGAGAAGCTAGATTGGTTTCCTGGATGAGTGCCAAAGTTTATTATTTTGGATTGAGATGATAGATTCATATATAGACTGTGGAGGAAAGTTCAAAAGGCTTTTCCATCCCCAACTTTTCCATCCCCAAACAGACGTTCAATCGAAGAGAACGATCCAAAAATTGGAAGACTAGCTTTGACTTTGTGTTCTTGATTTTGGTGAAACTGAGAAATGCACAGACCTCTGATAGTGTTTGCCTGCAATAACAATTTCCAAACTAATATTTGTATGGCTCCTTATAAAGCCCTTTATGGAGGAAAATGCAGGACACCTTTTTGTCAGGCATAAACGGGTGAAAGAAAATTAAATGGTGTTGATTTAGTTGATGAAACAACTAAGAAAATCTAGTTGATTTGTGACAGACTAAGAGAAGTCCAGAAGAGACAGAGAAAGTATTGTGATGTGGAGCGCCGGCCAGTAGAATTTGAATTGAGGGAATTTATTTTTCCTAAATTCAGTCTGATGAAAGATGTTAAGTGGTTGTTGAACTCATTTTTAGTGAGGTATAGTTTACTCTTAGGATTTAGGGTCTAGCCTTAGGATTCTTCCTTCGACTATCTTAATCCTTACAAATGGGACCCACCTCATTTTAGAAATTCAAACTGCTTCTATACTCTTTTGAAGTTCTGCATGTGGTTCTTGACCTCTAGCACGTAGAAGGTTGAAACTAACATGAGGGAACTCAAAAGGAGTTCTTATAGGATCATTAAGCCCTAGGGTTGCCTCTTGCACAATTTGCACTTCCGCGCGCACAAACTTCACAATTCAGAGAGTCGACACATTCGATCACTACAATTCACATCATTTGTGCCGTTATTCGTCGAAAGCTTAAATAAGTTTTCTTTGAAATGATTGACCGCGAACCGAAATTTTGACAAAAACTGAATTTGACTCGTTTATATATATATATATATTAAAAAAATCCTTATTTTCTTCCTTAAAAAAGCCCTAAATCCCTAAATCGAACACACACACCTCTCTCTCCCGTTCGCGAGACCGACCGAGCCCACTCTCCGATCGCTAAGCTTCGGCCGAGGTCCCCCTTCCGCGTGCTTCCGTACCCTGGCTAAAGGCTTCCACGCCGTGCCACGCGAGCTGCTCCTCTGCCTAAAAGCTCCGCCTCTGTCGTCGTCTTCCCCCGCGTGACTCTTGTCGCTTCTCTTGGCTCGGCTCACCGCCCAGGTGAGTGCAGGTAAATCTTCTTCTCCCTTCTGGCTATAAAAACCCCATTTGGGGAGTTCCTTAGGGTTGGCCGAAAATCTGGAGAGGGGGAGGTGTTGCCGATATGTTTTTTTTTTTTTTTTGAGCTGGTGTTCACGGGAATGTTGTAGCTTGTTCCCTATGCTTTCTCCTAGATCAACCAAGTGAGGTTTGGGGTTATTGCACATTTCTAGTTGTTCATTTTATTCATGTTCATTTTATTCAGTTGAAATTGCACCTTTCTAGCTGTTCATTTTATTCAGTTGAAGTCTCATTGCAATATTCTTATGAGTTGCTGCTTTGCTTACTTGAGTTGCTGCTTCTGATATGGCATTTATCTCTTGAAGTTTAATTACTTAAAAAGTCATGATATCAGGAAAGAAGCAGTTATATTAAATATATATATATCGTTCCCTTTGTTTTCTTGGTCAAAATGCTTTGAAATTCAGTAAATAACAATGCTTTAATTGTTACACATGCAATTGCCCCTTTAAGATACAACGAGCAGTTGTTTTAAAGTCATGAATTGGGTGGCGCGTAAGTGGATACTGGCTATAATTTGTATAGAATTTGGAGGTAACTGTTCTATTTTATTTACCCTGTGCATGTTCTCTGGTTTCACGGTGGCATCTTTGGTATGGCATGAAACATTTAGGTGGTATAAATGTGAAAATAAAATTTAGAGGTTACATGTGTAAAGACATGAAGAGTGGGGGGGTTATAAACATAGATATATATGAAGGCTTTTCAGCAATGATTATGTTCCTGGAATTTGAAGTCCCTTCAGTTGGTTTAAAAGAAAATAAAACAAAATATACTGCAGGATTGTTCAGCTAGTTTGAGAGGCCTTAAGATTACAATATTTGGAGATGTTGTTTTATTTGTTTTTACATAATATTTAAGGCCTCTTGTGATATTGCCAAAGTTAACTCTCGATTATACGGAACATAAGGATTGAGCTATTTGATTTAATTGCTATCTTTGTAATCTTGCTGAAATTAATTCTCGGTTTTTTTTTTTTTTTTTTTTTTTTTTTGTGGTGGATTGGTTTTGTTGTTACCTTTGGAAGCATGTCAAAGTTAACTCTCGAATGGATGAAATGAATAAATTGAGATCGTTGAAGTATTTTGATCTAATTATTATCCCTGGAGTTTACTGAAGTTGGCTTTCTGTTGCATGGGATGCATGTATTACAATCTATACAGGGTGCTAATACAATCCTTATTATATGTTGCGCATGAGTAAGTCGGCAAGCATATGCATTTCAAAACCGGATGTATAGAAGTTGAAGCCTGAAGGTTGGATATGTGGAATGCTATAATTAGTGGCTTTTATATATATATATATATATATATATATTGCTTAAATCATAGATATTTATTCACATCCCAATCATTATGTACCAATATAGATAACTTTTAGATATTATATCTAAATATTATTTTCTTCTCACATTTACAACACCTAAATATTTGATGTCATGTACAAAACACTGCCGCCTAAATCTTCTAAATCTTTTGGATTTTGGATAATTTGTATGTAATTGCATGAGAATATAGAGTTCAAATTAATGCTGTTTTGAAGGATTTAGATGTCGAATGCAACATGTAAGTTTAGAAATTGAATATGTGAATACATAAGTGTTGTGGGCTATAAATAGGTCATCGCATTGGTTTGGCCCCCTTGCTTTTTCGATTTGTTTGCGATGCAGTTTGGAAATGATATCTTTTTGGATTAATTCGTTTGCGAAATTAGAGGAAATGATACGCTCTTGGGTTGATTCGTGGAACATTGAGTCGCATTTAGTGAGTCAGTTTTGTGGCTTTCGAGTCGCATTTAGCGAGTTGTTTTTAGTGAGTCAGTTTTGTGGCTTTCAAGTCGCATTTAACGAGTCGTTTTTAGTGAGTCGGTTTTGAAGGATGATCTGCCTCTGTTACGTCATGTTTTAGGCGGGTATCATTTCCTCCACTCTCTCTTGCCTTCAGTCATTTGTTTCTCCTTGCTTCTTGGCCTACGTCACGTGTCTATGTAGGACGCATAGGTGCGCACGTATAGCACTCTTGCTATATGTGGGGTCATCAAGCAAGGCTGTAAGTGGAGTGTGTGAGGTTAAGGACGGTGATAAAATTGCATTATAGAGAATCGGTTCCCTTAGAATAGTATCTCCCAACTCAAAGACCCTGGAGAGGGTAGAGTAGGGAATTCTTACAGATACTATTCGCCCAACCTTGGGGTTTCTACCGCCGGCAATCTAAAGTTGCTAGCAGTCCTAGTTCGACCAGAATATTCAACTTGTGGATCGAATTATTTTTTTAAAAAAAATATAAAATATGTATATAAATACATTTGAAAAGTACAAAATCACCTCCACTACAAAACAACCTACTTAACTACGACTTTTACTTGCATGCAGATCCAGACTGAAATGTATGAAAAATTTTACAAAGGTCCACGATTGGCTACTCTTGGCGCTACTCGAGTCGGATTAGGGCTGCCTTCTGCAGAAAATTGGTCTAGTAGTCAGTACTTAAGGTTGTGGTCTACAACACAGCTCTGAGTCCTCCTCGCCACCAAGCTTACGGTCCTCTTGAACTTGTAGTCCATTCTAGTGTTTTCTTCGTTTTCGTTCATTCTTTCAGATTTTCTACAAGTTTACCTCTATGGATTTATTCGGATTTCTTACGAACTTTGTTTTGTCTCAGATTTATTACGGAATGTTCTTTTTCAACTATTTCCACCTTTTTGACTCTTTTATTTCGTTTCTCCTACACACATTACACACACAGAACTGCCCAGTGTAGTTTGCTTATTCTATCTTTCAGTGTATATCCTTCCGTCGGATGTAAAGTTTTCATATTATCATTGCATGATTTCATTGCACATTAACATGTTTTTGTTTTACACTCTCCCCTAGATTAGGATGCCAGTAGCAGCTATTAGGTGGTACCCACGATAAATTGGTGACCTCACATTTTGCATTATTTCAACCTTAAACAACTTGAACAACTTGAATACTAAATTCTTAAACAACTTGAATACTAAATTAGACGCTGCAATGACGAGGAGCTTGGAGCAAATGCGGTGGGCAGCACGACCATCTTCAACAACAAAATCAACAAAATCTTTCCTTACCTTTCCTTACAATTAAACAACAAGTCATAGGATTTCGAGGTAGTCTGCTTAGCGCGACATAAACTCTCATTTTATCTTTTAGGCATTTGCACAGCCAGACTATGTAATTTAAGCCTTAACTCGTTCTAAATTCCAGTTATCGTTCGATACGATGTAAACCCTCATATCTTCTAGGCGACTTGTGTGACCGTGTCACACAAATATAAGCCCTAATTACATAAAATTGGCAGGATGAAACACTTGAATAATTTCTCCTCGAAATTGAAGTCAAACCATAGGATAGACTGGGAAGTCACTGAGGTTTGCCTCCGGATCTATGACATCCCCTAGTTCTTCCTCATTTGGATTCCTCAAGCTTGTTATAAATTTGAGTCTTTCACATTTGACACTCTTTGGTCTGATTTCGTTGAGAAGTCCTATCCTTTTGACCTCTTTAAAAGATAGTATTCCATGATTTTTATCGAAAATTTTCTCAAGTGACTTCGGTCATTTAAGATGTAATTAACTATAGGGGCTTGCCCTTATAGGAAACTTTTCCGAACTCAGTCTAAAATAAACTTTATTTAATTCTTTATATTAAATAGGGGAACTTGTCTCCTTCGCATTTGGTTTGATTTTCTGTGAATCAAGCCAAGTTTTTACGTCCCTTCGCGCTCGTTTAATTTGTTAATTGCAACTCTTCAATGCTTTAATCACAAATAATTAATAAATTTGAAAATTAAAATAATCAAGGATATGCCCAGTTCATAAGACAAGTGCGTCAATTTGAGTACTTATGTTGAAACTGCAAGGCACAAAACATCGCTGACTTTCGAAAATTCTTTAAATGACAGGAATAACGTCTTCGCCAAGGTTGATCTTTTCTTTTACCTCTGGAATGGAGTTCGCTGTCAACAGGAATGAACTGCCTAACCTGGCAGTTATTAAGTTTGGACAAGGGTTCGGTGATATTGGAGTCAAGTTTGGAAAGAATGTCGTCACAGTGATGAAGTTTGAAACAGATAAGACCGTAGAGCCTATTGTAGAGTTCAACTTGAAGTCTATCAAAGAATTCTCCCCTTCAAAGGTGTTGATTGAAAAGAGCCCTACTAGTGTTGAAAAGTCTGTCGTTGGGAGCGTTGAGATTTCTCCGAGAAATGTTTTTACTCCTACTACCGGATACACTGTCACCGTGCCAACTGTTTTGCCGAGTAAGGGAAAAGAGATTCTACATGAGGAAGAGTCGGTTGATGCTTGTGCCCCACTACTTTCTGGATTCGAGATTGGGTTCAATTCGAAGCCTACACAACTGATAAAGGCACAGGAAAGGAGGCGCGACCAGGAAATTTTGAAAGCCAAACAACCTCGACAATCCCGCCAACAATAGACACAACAATATGGTCAGTCTAGCCAGCAATCGTCTCAGGGAGGATCATACCGACCAGAGAATAAAAGGATATCATTGGCAGAACGACAGAAAGTGATGTATTCCTTCAAAGAGGAAGTCGTGTCGAAGATGTTTCATGAATTGCTAAAGAAACAAGGATTTAGTCTACCAAAATTTATTCCACGAAATTGCTTGAGATGCCTTCTAAACATAGAGCCGTCGCTATCAACTTTCTTCCTGCGCCAGCCCGCTAACAAAATATCTCTCCACGCGATAAACCAAATTATAGGCATCCTCTCTTTCAAAGATCAGCATCTCATTTCCTTATGCGTGAGTCTTCTCCCCCATTTTCTCGATTGAAGCTTATTCCACACGTGAAGCGGGGGTTGGGTTCCCTTACGCAACTCATATTAATTTCCCACCTATAAGTCCGGCTTACCTCATATACTTAGTTCGCTCGTCCCCATAGGCTCCTAAATCGCCTTCCGCTCAAGAGGCCGCGCAGCAAGACTAGCATGGTTAGATGTAGCCCTCAACCAGATTCCCACCCACCGTGATTCCGTGTTCCATGTTGAATTACTTCAAATCAATCTTCTCCAACTCTAAACAAATTGCATGTTGTCCCATTCCTCCTATTGACATTTGTTCTGCCTGTTTAGATGTCTCGTTATTCATTCAAAGAGTTATCGCTAAAGTCTGGTATTATGCTACCGCTCGATCTTGCTGCAGATGGCGATGGATTTGTGTGAAATTTTGTGATCTTCTTTATCATTTCTTCCAATGTCGTGAATCTCCCCTCCATGGATGAGAAATGCTCCTCCATTCTCTATCTGATTTGGCTCACATCTTTCTCTGATTTCTTCTCCATATCATCTATTTTTTTATTGTCATTACTCTGAAGAAAATTTTCAATCACAAAGATAGGCTTCTATATGTTTGTTGGCTTCCTGCAAGCTCAAATCGCAACTATATCGCATAGTTCAGTCATTGTATGTCACAATCCCCCCACTAGGTCGAATAGAGTAATCCAATCGTCTGTACGTCGCAATCCCGTCGCTCATGCATCGCAATACTGTCGTTTGTAGGTCACAATACCGTCGTCCGTTAGTTCAAATCGAGTGGCACTTTTATTGCAATAACACTAAGAAACACAACTTAAATATATAAAAATGCCTACAATTCAAAAGGTATTTCATATCTCCAAAACCCTAAACTTAACACCTACAATTCAAGAGGTAGACGATCTTTCTGAAACCCTAAACCTAAACTTAAGATTCAAGACAACAATCACATACATCCTAAACCCTAAGCATAATAAGTCGTATTTATACCAAGCAATAATAACTAATAAAAGACTAAATTGCCCTTAGGCCTCAGTCTAACACATGCCTAATTCTTTATAGCAATTACTGAAAAATTTAAGATCAATGGTCCATGAAATCAATTTAATTATAAACTAAAGCAAGAGCAGTTACCACTTCATTATTAATGTTTATACAATCCATAACTTTCCCATAACTCATAACAAAAAACATGGTTCATTTATGTAACTAGCTATTAACATATGACATCAAGCAATTCAAATATTCCTAGTCTTCAACATTGCTTAGAAGTGTAAAATTAATTTGGACAAAAAGTGCACATGTAATGGAAATAGCAAGGTATCAATCGTACCAAAAGTATTTCATCTAAAATGTCAAAGAAGTGAGTATATCATAAAAGACAGAAAAATAATAATGAATACTAGTGATGAGTACCATCCCCAACTATAAACTTGCAAATCAGATTCAGAATATGCTATAGTATGATCAGCTCCGCAAACAATCGATGATATTTCCGAGCTATCCAATGTCCTCAGAAGGGTTGGAAGAAGACTATCTTCAGCATCACCATGGCCAAGTTGTCCATCTTCGCCTCGTCCCCATGTAGCAACAACTTTATCAGCTGTGACAAGGTCAAATAAAAGATCAGCATAGGTTTTTGCAAGTGTACAACATACATAATAAGGCTTCATTTGTTTTGGATCTCCATACAGCATTCGGCATTCATTTGAAATAGGAAGATTTAACTACATATCACTTAATTCCAATGTATGTAAATATCAAACACCTCCACTTCAATGATTACATACACAGTACCTTGCCTATGCATGAAAATCTGTATTTCATCTTTTAAATGTTTAAATAGTGGTACTTTTTATGTGTTGGGAAAGACTTCGGTGGAATAAATGTAAAAAGTAAAGATTAGGTGCTAGATATGTAAATACATAGAAATTGGATTGTATGTATGTAAATGACCCTTTGAAATATTGCTAGCGCGTAACAAACCCAGCCAAAAACTTGAAAAACTCAACTTTCCTGACACCTATACTCCAGCTAGAGGTAAGTTCCGCAAAAGAAGAAACATCTCAAAACATGGTCTTAGTGAAAGTAACCGTGATAGGAAAGATCACAATTAAACTATAAAATAATTAAATGCAGATTGTCTAACGCGTGCTGGAAATAAGGTTTCTTACTGCTAATGATGATTTACCTCTCAAATACCACATAAAAAATGATAATTCTTTCCAGAGAACTTAACAAAAAGGCAAACATCAAAATGTTATTTAATCTAGATTCCAAATTTCTCAACAGTGTTGTCCTTCACTTGAAGTATTCTATAAGTTATAGTGGGAATACACTTCTTGAGATTTGGATCGGTAATCTTGTTCTAGCCTTCCAACACTTGTACAAATGATCTTTAAACAATACTAAACCAAAAAATTGTACCTATAAAGGACTCCTAAAGTTTCTTCATTTAGAAGCTATTTAACAAAAACTCCTTTAATACAAGTAGATTTCTAAAGTCGTGTCCTAACGAGTTGCTTGGCTGTAGCTTAAGGTGAGCTATAGCAGCCAAAAATGTCATCATCATTAGTTTTATTTCAACTAGTTTGAATCGGTTTTATAAATCCTCATCCTCTAATCATCCTTGTTAGGTGATACATGAAATCTGAACCAATTTCGTGCAAATCTTTTTGCACAACTTTTACTCAGGCTATCTTAGGTCTAACCGATTTGTTCCTAATCCTTCCAACATTTATTTATCTACCTATCTTATAAAGAAATCTTCTATGCTTTTCAGTACACGTGCATGCTACTTTTGCTGCATTATCTCAATAAACAATAGTCCCACTATACCTCAAATCCAACCACTTACTAATCTGTCCTTCCAAGATGTTTCACACATCCACCTTACCATTCTTGTTTCTTTCATATTCAACTCACCCATTAATGAATTTTTTTACCACCCAGAACTTCGATAAATCCAGTGATACTAACATTTGTTGCCCCTTTCTAGTTCTCCAGGCGTCCTCCACATTCATCTCCTTTCACATCTTGATTGATTGATTGATTGATTGATTGATTGATTGACCAAAGGTGTTGCCTAAACATGATTGATTTGTCAACAAAAATGATTGAGATGGATAGATAGATAGATCCAAGGTGTTGCCTAAAACATGATTGATGTGTCAACAAAAATGATTGAGATGGTTTAGTTTATGATCTTACCTGCTATGCTTTCATTTGGCTTTTAAATATCCATATGAACATGCTATGCGTCCAGGTTGTAGATGAAACCTAGCTTAATGGCATAGAGATCATAAAAATAAGATGATCTACTGCTCAAATACATGATCCCTTTATGTTGTAAGATGATGGTGTGTTGAAAACATAAATAGGATAATCAGCCATCCCATAAATGGGTTGATGAGCAATCTTATGATAGTGCCAATGAGATTTCCAAAGTTTGAGGTGGCAACCTCCTATCAATACGCCTGACTGACATTCCATGAGGACTAAAATTAAAAATCATGATGGGATAGCAAAAAAGATTCAAGATGGTAAAATTATTACCTGTTTTTTTCTTCATTAACATGTTGCCATTCATCATATAGTGACTGTGTGCTTCTTATACTTCAAGTGCATGCGTCTTATGCATGATGATAACTACAAGCTTCTAGTGCTTTGTTATTTTTTATGCATGGCCTTATAATCTAGCTGTAATTACCATACTAAGATTTAAACCATGCCTTAACACAGGATGTCATGCTTAATCAGCTGTGGTTAGTGTAGGATGCTTCATTTACAGACTTGGTTTCATTGGTAGATCGGCGGACTTACCAACTACAATCAACATTTCAGGCAATTTATGAAACAACTAAAGATTTAGAGGACCACTGAGTAACCAACAAGTTAAGTTTCATCTCTTGTGATTAGATATGTTAGGCTTCATATTTGTGGCTAGGTAAGCCTGATTTATTTATATAATTTTGGACCCTTGAGAAATGCTTCTACTGTTTGACTCCACATTAACCATATAATCAAACAATAATATATTTGAACTTATTACACGTCAGCGTAGGTTCTATTTTAGCGGCTGTTTGGAGCAAGTAAACCAAGTTTCTTTTATTAAGTGGTGGAACTAAGGTGTGATAAACAGCTTTTAAGAGCCTGTAGAAAATTTGAAAGTCGGCAGGACAGGACGTGACATTCCCTTCCCGAGCTATTAATGTTATTAAAGGCTAAAGCTTAACGGTCAGATATTTCATAAAGCCACTGAAGATACAGTGCCAATGTCGGCAGTGATTTACTAATTTTGTATTGCCTGCTGAGGAAAAAAAAACATCTCGAACCTCATATATGATATATATATTATATATTGGCAAGTTGCTCTGCAACTGTCTTGCCCATGACCAAAAAGGCATGGAACAACTGAACGTACAGTATAAAGTAATCCTTGACATCTTCACAAAAAAAAAATTAAAAATGAAATTACTTCCCCAAAACTTTTTTATCAGGAACGATGCTAGCAAACCATCGAATTGCAGATTTTCCAAACAAGAAAAGCTAAATCAGCTTGAAATCCAAATCCCCAATATCAAATACGCTTCCCAGCCCAACCAACAAATCATCAAACCCTCCAAAATCGCACGAGAAGCAAACATGACGAAACTAAACAATTGAACAAAGAAAAAACTCCATAGCTAAAAGTCAACCGTGACAAGAATGTTATACACTCACAGAGGAGGGCAACGGAATGGCTGGCCCCGGCAGCGATGAGAACAACGTGACGCGCCGAAAAATCCGACATCTGCGCTCCGGCTGCCGAAGGAAGAAAATGAATAGACGAGAGAAGAAGCGGGTGTACTTTTTCTCCGAGAAAACGAGGGATAGGTGGAGAAAATAATGGCGGGGGATCTCATCTGAGTGTGCGCCGAGTAGTCATGCGATTTATATACTGGGCACGGCATTGATTGCAGTTGCGAAAATGACGAAAGTAGAGAGGTGACAGGACCCGCGGCTCTCTCTCTCTCTCTCTCTACTGCGATCAAATTGTATTATTGTAATGCGACGATCTTTCTTCTTCCAGTCCTTTCTTCGATTTTTTTTTTTTTCTTTTTTTTTTTTTGTGCGGACTGTCCTTTTCTTGATCTGAGTACGCTTCCGAGCAAAAAAACAATTATCGTACGTCCCCCGAAAACCTTACACTGAGACATGAGAGAAGATAATATAACTTTTTTGACTTTGGCGGGGTGTAATTTTTTCACCATTAATAAATGAAGGTTGTACCACTCAATTTTTTTAATAATTCAAACAATTCGAATTCACATAAATAAATTATTTTAGAATCAAATCAAACAGCTAAACAAACTCAATTTTGAAACATCTAAATATTTAAATAAATTCCAGCACAACTAATAATACAAAAAACCTGATGTGAAAATTGAATACCAGCAGGCTGCAACCATTAGGGGATAAAGAAAAAACTAATGTTTTGCACTTAACTGAAAATCGTCTTATGAATCAATGTCATGCTTAACCTGATGAATGCCTTGGAATAAGAGGAAGAAGGGCAACCTTAAGTTTTTCTTGGCACAAAATCATGTTTTGATTTGTTCATACATTTACTAATCTTGATTTGATGACAATCAATTGAAATTATTATCTCTATCTGCATAATGGTTGAACGCCTTTTAAAAAATAAGGGTTGATTGAAGCATCAAGTGTGTTGAGTTACACCTTGAAGGCACATCAATGCACAAACACAGCTTAGATTTCTCAACAAATTTGTGTAACCTTGCCACAATTCCAGCAGGTTGCCTACTGACCAGAATTTGATTTTGATCTTCCTCAGTTTGAGTTCCTATCTTGTGATCTTCCTCTGGAATCAATAATCAGTGTTGAACTCGAATCTGAGGTCTCGCCAGAATCTTTCATTCACACCTCCTTAGCCAAAATTAAATCACGAATATCATCATATTTCAACTTAGATTTACCTGTAGAACCACTAATTGCCATCCCCATGACTACCCAGCTATTTGACAATGAAACCAACAATATCAGCGCACGTATCTCATCATCAAAATCAATTTCAACAGACGATAATTGATTTATGATAGTATTGAAATCATTCAGGTGTAAAGCAACAGACAAACCTTTTGTCATCTTCAAGTTGAATAACTTTTTCATCAAGTACACTTTATTATTCGTCGATGGCTTTTCATACATACACGATAAAACCGCCATGAGATTTGTAGTAGTCCTCTCTTTGATGACGTTGTGGCAACAGATCTCGATAGGGTTAATCAAATAACCCCCAGAACCTGTCGATCCAACAGATTCCATTTTGTCTCGTCCATCTTTTCTGATCGTTTTCTCATTAACGGAAGATGCAGTTTCTCCCATAGAGATAATCATCTATCTGCATCCTTTGGTAAGAAAAATCTGTGTCATTAAACTTCTCGATCCCTAATGTCATCACTCCGTCTCCGTTCATCGTTCTTCCTTAGATCTGAACCTAAGGCTCTGACACCGTTGTTGCGAAAAACGACAACAATAAAGCGAAAAATTGAATGAGAAACATTGCACGTAGAAAAATACCAAAGCTACACACGGATTTACGTTGTTCGACGGTTCGACAAATTTGTCTACATCCACGGAGCTGCAGAGGATTTTATTTCTTCGAGGAGTTAAACCGTCGATCGTCTTGACTTATAAGAGAAAGTCTCACTTCCTCACTCTCCTCTTCTCTCTACCGTCTCTCTCTCTCTCTCTCTCTCTCTCTCTTTCTCTCTTAGAGGACTTAGCTTGGCCTTGCTTGGCTTGTGGCTTTATTTATGATAAGTCATAAGAGGCTATTTATAGAAACTTGGAGAGTGGTAGGTGGGAGGTAGGTGAGCGGTAGGTGGGTGTGGTAGGTGAGCGGTAGGTGGGAAGGTAGGTGAGCGGTAGGTGAGATTTTTAATTAGAAAGCTAATTAAATTGCGGTGGACTGGGTCTTCATATTACCCAACATTAACGCACATTGGGCGACGAGGCGCTTCGGTAAGCACAAATTGATGTCTGTCGATCAGTGCCGACCAGCACTGTTAAAGTAATAGGAATCTCCTTCTCTATCCAGAATTATGGGGGCTTTTCAATCGTTCGGTGTTGACTCTTCTTCTTAGGGATGTTGCTTTCTTCTATGATTCAATGCCTCTAGAATGGCATCCAACATTTGAACCTTCAACTCATGGATTTGTTGCTTTGCCAACTCTTTCGTGCACTCCATGTTGTCAATGTCTATGTTGTGGGTTTCTTCTCCACGCGTTGCTCCTCTTCTTATCTATGATATGATCCACATTTGCCATATCATTTAGGATGTTGAATCCTAATTTTTTCTTGAATCACACCCTAAGTGTTAGAGCGTAAGAAATGAGAGGAAGACAGATAAAAAGATAGGAGTGAACATTAATGAATAGTAAAATAACTTCTATATTAGCCTTATCTCATATAATGATATAATTAGTTATAGGGAAGTGGGTATAATATAATGATATTACATTTTTTCCTCTATTTTAATAGAGGTTGTACATGATATCCTATGTATTTGGCATATACGTGTTGCTCAGTTGCCATCTCTCGGACGGCTGGGTTAGTATAACTTCAACTCAATGAGGTCGATGTGGTAGGGTGGGCTTAGATGGTGTTATCGGGCGGCTGAGCATGATCAGCTTCAGATCGGTAGGACTGACTTTGTCGGCTAGACTTTTGTTGACCTCACTTTTGGTTGAGGTCTAGAAAACTTCTTTAGTAGCCTAGGTCTAGCCATAGGACTTTCTTATTGACTAGTCTTAGAAAATTAGAAGAGGTACCCCACCATTAGAAATTCAAAACTCTTCTTTTTACTCAACTTGAAATTCCACATATTGATCTTAACCTCTAGCATTTAGTAGGTAAGATCATTATAAGAGAATTCAAGAAGAGTCCCTATAGGATTACTTGGCTTTAGGGTCGACCCTGGGTGTTGACTTGGAACTAGGATACACCATATCTTCACAATACATTAATCCATGGTTCATCTAGAATGGATATCTATCCAATTCTATGTGAAATGCCTAACTTGGTCTTTTGCCCCGAGGCACCTACAAATTACCTAACTGCCCTTGGTACCCAAATTTGGCTAATATTCCCAAATTTTGCCAAAATACCCAAAATTGATCAAAACCCATTTCAAACACCTTGAATACATCCAAATTTGTCAAAATTTCCAAAAATGACCAAATTACCAAGATACCCCTCCATGACCCAAAATCCAAAAATTCCAAAAAATTCCTAAAAAAATCTCAATAAATACAAAATATTCCCAATTTCATTTTGTCTAACTACACCATGGTCCAATTTGGTCAATTTGACCATCTTTGACAAAATCCCCAAATTAGCCCCTAATATTGGCTAACACCCCAAATTTCAACAATTGAATGCCTTAGACCTCAAATTGGCATCCAATTTTTGTTGAAAATCCTTTATAAGGACATTTTT